CATAGCCTTGGGCTCGATCTGTGGGTATGTTGAGATGGCTGCGGCTGCTTGGGGTGGGAGGCATGTTGTATCCCTGGTTAGTCATATAAGGGGCGTTTTCCTGGGGAGTCGGAAAACTGGTCGCTGACCCATCCGTGGTCGCTGAGTAAGTCTGAGAATCGTCTCTGTAGAATGCAGGCTCCGAGTACTGCCTGGTTGTGTGTAGCGGGGGTATGCCGACGCCGGGCCCGAACGACTCGCCTCCGGGGATGTAGGTGGCCGAGGTGAGAGGCTGCATCTCTTGCGTTTGCTGCGGCGGGGGTGGGCCCGGAGGGGGCGGTATGTTTCCTCCATACGTCTGGTATAAGCTCGGATTGTAATTTTGAGGCTGGGTATTGCCCATGTACCCCCGAGGCGCCCCCCAACCATAGCCGGCGGTCGCAGGCGGCGGGGGAATGTTGATTGCGCCGAGGTTGTTCGCGGGTCGCGGGGGCGGCGGAGGGAGGTTCATGCCATGCGAGGCAGGGTTCGAGGTGGGTTGGGGAGGCGGTGGGGGCAGATAGGGATGCATGTTGCGCTGCTGGAGGTAACTCTGATGTCTCTGGACAAGGTTCGGGTCCGCGACCGTGTGCGCTCGCCCGCGCGGGCTCGTAGAGTGAGGGTTCCCTGGCGATAGCAGCGAGTATGGCGAAGTCGTCCCGCCAGACGGGGTGAGCAGGCCAGTGGGGGGAGATGCAAGGCCGGAGCCGTCGAGGTCGTTCGGCACACCGAGATTGGAGCGGTTCGCAGAGAGAGGCGTGGGAGGGCGTCGTCGGCCGGGTCTGTCAGAGTTGTTGGAGATGTTGGACGAGGAACGCTGGCGCGAGGCTATTGTCATGTCTAAGTTCGAGGCAGGGTCGCGCAGGAAAGCTCCTCAGGTAGAGTAGAGGGCAGCGGGCGCATCACGGCATAGCATGACTCTGCGAGCGTGGGAATGGTGACTCGACTCGCGGGCGCGGACTGGCGATTTTGGCACTATACGGAGTCCTTGGACAGAGCTGGATCTCTGGAGCGACTTCAACGGTGCGCGCGCGGTGCCTGAGGCGAGTGACCTGTAGCAGAGTTGCGGCCGGTGACCGACGACGGGGTGATGCGACGCACGAACGAAGGCACACGAGGCTGTCAACGCTGCCGAGAGCACGCTGGAGCTATCTCGAGACGCTGCGGTAAGCAGACGAGGGCAAAAAAGGCACGCTCTGCAGCGGCGGGCAGGGCAGGCAGCGGGCGCTTGCAAGCCAGGTGAGGCTGCTTGGCATGCGACAAAGCACTTGGAGACGCAGGTCGGGCGAAGGCCGCAGGGCTCGAGGGAGGGATAGCGACGGGGAATTGGGAGGGGAGAAGGCTATGGATGGGGTGGCCGCCTGGGAGCGATTGTCGAGGGCAGAGCCTGGGGAGAAGCACTGGCGCAGAGGAGCAGAGCAGAGAGCTGCTAAGCTGGCTGTGAGATCAATGGGCTGGCGTCGTTTCTGCGCGGCAGCTGCGTTGCGTTGCGTCGACGGATGGGGCTGGCCCGAGCGCCCTTCGAATCCATCCACCCAGGGCGGGCCAGCACATGCAACGCGCAACACGCAGCCGTCACCGTTACCGACAGCTGCGGGTCCCCGTCCTGACGACCTTTCTAGACTGCTGCGTCGTCTGGTGCCCGCCTGCACTGAACCTTGGGACAGCCGCATGTACGCAGGTTCTCAACGGTGACAGCGGAGAAATGCTGATCCGGCGCCTGCGCCACCACTGCCACAGGCCCGCGTCTGAGGTGAGAACAGACCAGAGGCCCAACACCCCACCGATCAAGCGGCTGTCAGTGTGCTGCAGCTGGCGGACATTGATCCTGAACCGTTGAACTCTGTCGCATCTGGCCAGATGGCACAAGAGCGCCATATATCGTCCCATGTGGCAGCCCTGGAGGACGCAGGTCCCGTCCGAGATCAGCACTCCCAGCCCACGCCGTTCAGCCGCTGCCGTGCGAGACGACAGTCCTAGAATCATCCCACAGTAGTGCGCACTTGGCCCATCCCAAGGAGCTCGCTCCGCCTTTGCAAGCTTGCTCTGCTGTCTCGCAAGCCCGCTGCTGGTCTCTAACTAGACCTACTGCGTGAGCCTCGAATGCAATTCGCGTTCTGCCTATAGCTCTGCCCAAGACGATCCATGCCGTCGCACGACACTGCAGGGCCGCGGCCGAAGACACCACCGAGAGGACATGTTCACACCACCTATCTTGCGCATACGGTATGCCCGGAGGCATGCAAGATAATGCAACACCAGCGCCGCCGTCTTCCCATCACGACCTCTGATATGGCCTGATGTAGGGTGACCGTTCTTAGTAAACATGCACGCTGTCGCGACATCGTCATAGTTGTTCAGCGGCGGGATCCATAAAAGAGAGCCGCAACCACCCGCTGCATTATCCACACCCACCTGCGCAAGCCCTCCTGCAATTCTTCCTTGTATCTCTCATCCTAGCCGCACCAATGGCTTCAGATCTCAGAACTCAAGACATCCAAAATCCAGTCGATGTCGCTGAAGTGAGCTGGCCCACTTTCACATGCGCTTGCGACTATTAACCCTTCCTCCCAGTACCTCTTCCGCCGGCTACATGAAGTAGGCGTCCGCTCAGTTCATGGTCTTCCCGGCGACTACAATCTCGTCGCGCTCGACTACATCCCCAAGGCTGGTCTGAACTGGGTGGGCAATTGCAACGAGCTCAATGCTGGTGAGTGACCCTGGAGCTACCCCGCATGAACCCTTGGGCCCAACAGCTGCGGGTAGCTACGTGCACACCAATCTATCTGTGGGTTTGCTAACCCGTATTTTTGTCTTGCAGGTTACGCAGCAGACGGCTACGCGCGTGTCAAGGGCATCTCCGCCATCGTCACGACCTTTGGCGTGGGCGAGCTGTCGGCCGTCAACGCCATTGCGGGCGCATACTCAGAATACGTCCCAATAGTGCACATCGTGGGCTACCCCTCCACGGCCTCGCAGAAGAATGGCATGCTCCTGCACCACACCCTCGGCAATGGCGACTTCAATGTCTTCTCCAAGATGTCCAAGGAGATATCGTGCGCCGTGTCCCTGCTCAATGACCAGCACGAAGCTGCAACACTCATCGACAATGCCATCCGCGAATGCTGGCTACACTCACGCCCAGTCTACATTTCCCTGCCATCCGATATGGTGCAGAAGAAGGTCGACGGCGACAGGCTGAAGACCCCGCTGGACTTGTCGTTCCCGAAGAATGACCCGGAAAAAGAGGACTATGTTGTCGACGTGATCCTCAAGTACCTACACGCAGCCCAGAACCCAGTCGTTCTTGTGGATGCCTGCGCAATCCGTCACCGCGCATTGGACGAAACGCACGAATTTATCGTGAAGTCTGGAATACCCACCTTTGTAGCACCCATGGGCAAGGGCGCAGTCAATGAGACACTTCCGAACTACGGCGGCGTATACGCAGGTGATGGAAGCAACAAAGGTGTACGCGAACGGGTCGAGGCCTCTGACCTCGTCATTAGCATCGGCGCGATCAAGTCTGACTTCAACACGGCCGGCTTCACGTACCGCATCTCGCAGCTCAACACCATTGACCTACATTCCTATGGCACCAAGGTCCGCTACTCAGAATATCCGGGAGTTCGCATGAATGGGGTGCTCAAGAAGGTGACCGCGAAGCTCGGCCAGCTCAATGTCGAGAAAGGCCCGAAACCCAACAACGATATTCCTGACGAGGAAGTCAAGTCTCCAGAGCCCACCATTACTCAGGCCTGGTTCTGGCCTCGCCTCGGACAGTGGCTAGAGAAGAACGACGTCGTGATCACCGAGACCGGCACCGCAAACTTCGGCATCTGGGAGACGCGGTTCCCCGCAGACGTGACTGCCATATCACAAGTGTTGTGGGGCAGCATCGGGTATGCGACAGGCTCGTGTCAAGGCGCGGCGCTCGCAGCCAAAGAACTAGGCATCAAGCGCACTATTCTCTTCACTGGCGATGGCTCTTTCCAACTCACTGCGCAAGAAGTCAGCACAATGCTCCGTAACAAGCTCAATCCCATCATCTTCATCATCTGCAACAAAGGATACACGATTGAGCGCTACATCCACGGCTGGGAGGACAGCTACAATGATGTCCAGGAATGGAAGTACAAGGAACTGCCGTACGCGTTCGGTGCCGAGAAGGACAGCGTATTGACGTATCGTGTAAGCACCAAGAAGGAGGTTGAGGAATTGTTTCTGGATCGAGAATTTGCATCAGGCGATACGCAGAAGTTGAGGTTTGTCGAGCTGGTTATGGCGTGGGATGACGCGCCCGTGGCATTGAAGTCCACGGCTGCGGCCGCGGCGAAGACCAATGCTGAGAACTAAGCGTGGATGGTAGTGTAATAGTATAATGAGCCGGGATGGCACAGGGTTAGGATGTACGACTGTGGCTTCTGGGAAACTGGCACAGTCAATGACTTCTCGTGCAATGACTGAATACGAACAAAAAAATACATTGTTAAACTTTACTCTTCGTTTAGTGACCTATTCTCAAGAAACGTTGCTGGTTATACTGTTGTTGACTATCGATTTCGGTTCTCTGAGAACGTACTTACGACCGGCAGGTAATTGGAGTTCTGTGTGTAGACTACAGTGCATGTCGTATGCATGTACTTGAGAGCAAGAAAACACGCAAAGTAGTCTAACGCGAATGCTGTAGCATTGTAAATGTGCAGTTGTTCTCGTTTAGGTATGCATGCGAACGAAGGTAGCACAGTGGGCGCAATCCAACATCGACTGCGGTCCTTGAAGATAAGCTCTCGGCTCTATCCAACATTCCGGGATCCGGTTCGGTCATACACGTTTACCCAACTTCCCCGCTTTTATGCCCTAGCCCATCACGATGACCGCAAAGATCCCTGCCACGTAATCTGCTGATATTTACAACTATATATATTGCAAATGCGGCGAGTTTGCTATAAATCAACCATCCACGACTCAGCTCGTGACAATCTTCGATGGTCTAGTGGTCATGATTTCCGCTTGTCAGCGCCCATTGTGGGCGTACAAGCGCGGGAGACCGGGGTTCGATTCCCCGTCGGAGAGTCTTGAAGCATCTTTTTGCACTTTTTTGGTTTTGGGTTTCTCTCTCGATGGAGTGGGTGCCAGGACGCGAGACTTTTTGGTGGGTTAGCTCTGCTTTTGCTTTTTGCTTTATGAGTGCCTGGAGCTCTGCAAAGGAGCTGGTTTCTAGTAAGGAATACCCTAGGCACCTTTGTTGAACGTTGTTGTATACTGTAGGGTATAATAAAGCATAATAAAGCCTTTTAGGTGCGGGCTGTATAGGCGTTTAGTATACCTTGATAAAAGCCAGCTCCTTCGTAGTGGAAGGGAGTGAAGACTTCACGGTTGTTTTTGTAATGGTAGTCTACGCTAGAAAGAGAATCAAAAGTCAAGAGGGAATTTTTAAGGGAAAGCCATGCCAGCTCTGACTATTGTGCTGCGGGTAAGAGCAGATTATACTGAAGGTCATGAGCTCGATTGTTTTGTTGTTCAGCGGATCGGGTTGCAGGTATCGACTTGCAAGTGTGCAAGGACCTAGGGTGAATCTATCTTCCTCGGATTCTTTTGACATCAGTTCGCACCCTACCAGTGTCCATAAACTCGGCGCCTGCCTGAATATGTAGAATATTATCATCAAGGCTATCCATGGAATGATGATCAATGTGGTGTGCAGATGCTTGCTGTTCGGGATGATCTCGGATCTATGACTAGTCTCACTGGCTTGTTAGGCAAAGATCTCACCACCTGGGCACACTCCAGCATTCTACGTCTAGAAGACATCGCCTTTCACCCTGCATAGCACATCACTCTAGCCCAAGTCTATCTTCTAATCAACGTACCTCAGCCTGCAGCCAGAGTCCTGATCGCGTCTCGAGCAACCCGAGCTTACGCGTCGACATGGCTGCGACATGGAATCTTTCCACGCTACTTTCGGACATCGATAATCTGTCTGAAGATGATAGAACACTCGCTCTTCGATACCTGCTAAGGATTGATCCGCAGTTTAAGGATCCTTCGACTGCCCAGCACTCACAACCCCAGACCCAGCACATTCATGTCAATCTTGTAGAAAGCTGTTTCTCCAGAACGAAGTGAAGGAAAGGAACACGAGACTGCGGCGAACGGGTACGCAATGGCTCTATGAGACGGAAAAGGCTAAATGCTACAGTGGAGAAATAACTCTGACCAAGGAAGGCCTCATACAAGGTCTAGCTCGAGGTTGCGCTCTCACGAGATGGGTTCTCGCGCTCCTCACGCGACGTCTAGTCAAGTTCAAATCGGATATGGGAGAACGAAACATCTCGCAAGTCAAGCGGCATTCTGCAACACAGATAGGCAGTTCTGCAGAAGATCTCCGCTATCTGAGCGCGCAGACTGGCATCACCGTCTACTATCTCCGGGGATGCATCACTTCCGTTACGCTATCAACTTTGGGAAGCTTCACAAGCCGCTGCTCGTGGAAATGAGACCTACAGAGGTTTCGTAGGCAAGTATGAAACATCAGTTGAGGCCTCACTACGAGTATATACTGATCAGGGTGAGTCATTCCCCGTGGTCATTATGTGCTATAGACATTAGCTCGTAAGAACAAGCACATCACTGCGTCAAGAGAAAGAACATGGAGGCGAAGCTTCACCCCAACATCGCGTACTACAGCTCCTGTCTACCATAGTGATACTACTGCAGCTGCTATTGCTATTCCTATCACTATTCCCAGCGTTGGCAGCTCGCGTAGACAACGTCCGCGCCCATTGGCTCTGCATCCTACACGAAGTCTCACAACAGCTTCCATGCGCCTCCATACAGCGACATGGTCACACCATCTGCAGCGCACCCACGTGTATCGTCGTCACAGGCAGGTAAACGCTGGGTTTGTAGCATTCGAGATTCGGTCAGGCCGCTCGCTTGGAGGGCTCTACGCTCTGCCTACGCAAGCCACCGAGTTCCATTGCATTGGGCTGGAACTCTTAGCTCGCAGATGGAGCGACAGCTAGCGGGAAGGGAGCAGGGGGTTTTTGGAGGATAGCGGCGCCGGCGCGGTGCGAGAGGGACGGAAAGGGAAAGCTGGACATGCAGCTTTCGCGCAAGGAGAACGGGTGATTGGCAAGGCGCGGGGAGGCCCGCGTTGATTGGATGCAGGCTCAGCCAAGACTGAGATGGTGAATGCATCTGCGGCATCCCGCTTGCGTGCTGCTGAACTTAGGACTCGCCAGCTGCAGTCGAGCTTTACCGCATCTTCACCGTGTACCAGGTGCAGACTGCTCGTTTCGATGGCGGGCGTCCAGAGATGGATGGGCGTGGGTGATGGTACCCAGACCGTCCCGTACGGTCACGCCGAGAGTTGAGGTCCGCAAAACGAGGCTTGAAACCTCCTCGCACGACGGCACTTATGCACGACAGTCGAGCAGTGTGACGGCGCAAGCAGCGCTCCGGCGACGTGATTTGCTGTAGAGCAAATGGCTTCACAGCGGTAACGAGACTCGGACAGCAGACGAGGCTCCTGCGGTGGAGATGATAGCAAGGGAACGACACGCTGCGGCACCCGTAGCCCGTAGCTCGTCTGTCGCCGAGTAGTGAATGCGAGAGCCGTCTTGGGGGAGTTTTCGGCGTGGGAGACGTCGACGTCGTGGCTCGAGTGTTCTCCACATGCACCTCCTCACCACCAACGCCGCCGCCGCCGCCGCTGCTAGTCGCGCGCTCCCGCTGCATCGCTCGAATCTCTGAGCCTCTCGATGCCCCTTTAAATCCCCTCAACCTCGCGATCGTCCTACGCCCTTCCCATCGCGTCTTTGTTCAGCCGAAACGGTCGCAAACGAACAGAAGCTTCGGGCTCGGGCGCTGACAACTCAGCCCTAAGTCACCTCCAGTGAGAAGACCCCGCGCGCACTCAGCAAAACTTCGTCTCTGCACGATCGTCAGCCGCACTTCTCCTCCACCTCGACGCGTGCTAGAGCTGCCCGCCGCCGCCGCCCTCTCTGCACATCTTGCCCACCTGGGTCTGCGAGTGCTATAACCTCCGCATTCTCCACTTTGAGCCGCTCCCGGCCACCCCGAACGAGGCTCCTCAACTGCGCTCGCGCGACTCCATCGGACAAGCAACCATGTCTTACTACCCAGGCCAGCAGTACAACGGTGGACAGCCCAACTACGGTGCCCCGCCGCCCAACAACTACGGCCCACCCCAGGGCTACGCGTCTCAAAACAACTATGGCCCCCCGTGAGTGATTGCGCTGCATCGGCCGGTCTTTGCACCCTGCTGACAAGACACAGTCCTCCTCAACAGTACGGCGGCTACCAACCCTCTCCCTCGCCGCAACCTCCCTACAATGGCGGCTACGGCCAACCGACTCCCCCGCCGCAGCAATATGGAGGCTATCAACAGGTGCGTGAACACCATCTAAGATGACGAAGTTGCGATCGAGCCGGGTGCTGACGCATCAACAGAGCCCGCCACCCCAGCAGTATGGATATCCGCCTCCGAACCAGGGGCCGCCCCCTCAGAATTACCAGCAGCAGCGACCAGGTAAGACAACGTCAACGAAAATCATGGTTTGCGGGGACTGACGGCTCCAGCGCACCTTCCCACAGTGAACAGCAACCAATGGACACACGGCAACCACCAGGCGCCGCCACCCCCGCCTACTCAACCGCAGGGCTTTGGACACGGAGCACCAAACGGCTACTCTTTCCAGTATTCGGCATGCAATGGCCGCAGGAAAGCGCTGCTGATTGGCATCAACTACTTCGGCCAGCGAGGACAGCTTAGGGGATGCATCAACGACGTGAAGAACATGTCAACGTACCTAAACGGTCACTTTGGGTACAAGCGGGAGGACATGGTCATTTTGACAGACGATCAGCAAAACCCAATGAGCCAGCCTACCAAAGCAAACATTCTGCGAGCCATGCATTGGTTGGTAAAGGACGCGAAGCCAAACGATTCACTATTCTTCCACTACTCAGGTATGTGACATTTGCCACTTTCTAACATGATGCGCAGCTGACGAATCAGGGCACGGTGGTCAAACCAAAGACCTAGACGGCGACGAAGATGACGGCTACGACGAGGTCATTTACCCCGTAGATTTCCGGACTGCTGGCCACATTGTAGACGACGAAATGCACCGCATCATGGTCGGCCCGCTTCAACCCGGAGTACGCCTGACCGCCATCTTCGATTCGTGCCATTCCGGCTCCGCCCTGGATCTACCGTACATCTACTCCACGCAAGGTGTGCTCAAGGAGCCCAATTTGGCCAAGGAAGCTGGTCAGGGCCTCTTGGGCATCGTGCAGTCGTATGCTCGGAATGACATGGGCGGCATGCTGTCGACTGCACAAAGCTTGTTCAAGAAAGTCACTTCAGGAGGCGACGTGTACGAGAAGAATATACGGACAAAGACCAGCCCCGCGGACGTCATCATGTGGAGTGGCAGCAAGGATACGCAGACTTCGTAAGCCCCGCCCCGGTACCTGTTGGACAGGGATCAGCATGCTAATCAATATCAGGGCCGATGCGTCGATCAATAGCGAGGCGACGGGCGCCATGTCCTGGGCGTTCTTGTCCAGCTTGAAGAAGAATCCTAATCAGAGCTATGTGCAGCTGCTGAATAGCATAAGGGATGAGCTCGAGGGAAAGTATAGCCAGAAACCGCAGTTGAGCTGCAGTCATCCGTTGAGTGAGTATCCTTGCTTCTACGACTTTAACTACTCCTACGTGCGAATAATTGGTGGCTAACGATTGGTAGATGTCGACTTGCTGTACGTCATGTAGATGGACGGGACGGTCCGAGGGATTGAGGATTTGGATTTGAAACGTTTCTTTGCTGTATGCCGATTGATACCACCACCGTCCTTATGGGGGATTCTGTCGGGATTTGAGAATTGAGAGGGTTTGTGGGCTGGATGGGGGGGTTTGGGGGGGCTGGGATTGTGGGATCTGATGAAATGGCTGGAAGGCGTGGAATTGATGGGATGGTAGGATTGGAGAAAAATTATTGGGGTGGAACGAATGCGTATGCGTATGCGTTATTGGTAACGGCTGT